ATGCAAACTCTTTGCACGGGACACCCCCACTCGCATGTCTTCACATGAACGAATTAGGATCACATCGTTTGTACTAGCTACAAAGTGGGCCGCATCTATAGTGTCCCCAGAATAAGGCGCCCAACCTTATTCCTATACTATAGACCATTTAGACGGTTAACTCAAACTTGATCCATATTTATGTCTCTTACATAGAGTTTGAGTCTCAGGTAACAGTCTAGGATCCTTTATTTTATTGGATTTATATCTAGTAAGAACATTTTATTGGATCAATAACTACTTATTGATTAAAACCTTCAATAACAACTTTATTGAAAGATAAAAGTATATCTGGCATTTTCAAACTATGATTTTCAGGACATAAAACCCAACAAATTTCAAACTATCATGGTATACTTAATAATGTCAACTTTCGTGTTTCAGAAATGTCAATAGAATGCCTTCAATGACATTTTTTAATTGTTACGAAACGGTTGTGAATGTTTTTTTTTTTTGTCACGAAACCTATTTTGTTGACATTTGTGAATGTAACTTTTCATATAAACTTGTTTTGAAATGTTTTTAAAAATCGCTTTCCATAGTTGTACCTACTACTTGTCAACTGTGACATATTTTACATTAGTACACCAACCCACTTGCAAATATAAAGTGTATACATGTAGTAAATTATATATATATCAACGAAGGTTTTTCATATCCATCAACCCCGTACATAAACAAACTACATACCAAGTAACTGCTAACCCAACAAAAAATGGCCCAACAATCATTTTTTAAATATTCCAAGTAGCTACCTGTCATGGTTCTCCAGGCTCTTCTTGGACGACCTAAGCAATAGAAAAAAACCTCAAATATTTCACAATAGTATCTGCGAAAGGTAAAACTACAACAAATGTAGTTACATATTACTATTATATGTTGTAAGAGTTCATACCGTGTAAACGTGAAAGGTCAAACTAGAAAATGTAGCTAACATATTACAGAAACTCTCGCTTCTGCTTCCTTCAACCCTCGCTCCCACGTGCTGAACAACATATTCAAAACAAACAATTAAGAAAACATGAATCTAACTTTGGCAAATATACACAAAACTGGACAACCTAAACTTTCAAATCTCTTACACTGAGTTTACTTCCCTTTTCTGCTCATTGTAAAGGTTAATATAGTAGAAAAGAAAATTATATTTCAAACGTTTGAGTAAAATTCGTAAAAAAAATAACAAACACATTTTAAGCTAATTTCAACACTGTCAACAAACACATTTTCGAAAATCATAAGCTTGTCTACAATTGATAAGAATGTGACATTTACCTATAAGAAACTACACCTAGACACAAATTTTTGGATATCATAGACACAAATTTTTTGTTCAGTCCATAAAGGATCTACATTCATTTTTTGTCATCCACTATGTAATCAGTTTTAACAATTATAAAATATAAACAGAGGACCAGCAAACCTTATTTCTAGAATCAACACACTTTCATAGCCTTTATTTACTGCCTCAACAGAGAGCTAACGATCACAATAAGCACCTAAAATCTTTTTCTTTCTCTCAAATAACTCACACAAAACCCTCATTTCACAGAAACAAAGAAGCAAAGAGGCAATATCAAACGATTTTTTAAATTCTCCCAATACAAGCAAAAACAATCTACTTATCCAAATCTTAATTGGCTAACTTTGCTGCAGGATAGCCACACAATTATCCAACTAGATTTTAAACTATATGCATGCCACAAATATAAACACTAAGTCTTAATTGGCTATCTTTGCTGCAGGATAGCCACACAATTATCCAACTATATTTTAAACTATATACATGCCACAAATATAAATATTAAGTCTTAATTGGTTATCTTTGCTGCAGGATAGCCACACAATTATCCAACTAAACTTTAAACCATATAATTATCCAACTAGACTTTATACTATATGCATGACACATATAAACACTAAGTCTTAATTGGCTACTTGCACAAGCTTTTATAACCATGTCAAGCCTAAAATCAAGGCATAATATTCACAAAAGAGACCATAAAAGCAGCCAAAAGGGAAGAGAAAGACAACCACAAACAAAATATGAACACACAAATCTAAACAACATAGCTTTAACAAACACAAACAACAACATTATCTAACACATTTCTGATTTCTCAGTGCAAGAACAAGCTTTCACAATTAGTAAAAATAATGAAATGAAAGAATATGAAAGACAAAAAAGTTTGAACACTCTCCATTAGTGCAAAAGTGCTAACTTGCAAAGAACGATAGAAAATAGAAACTAAAATTGAGGGAGAAATAGAATAAATGAAAACTAAGTGCTTCCTCCCCTCAATAAAAAAAACTAAGGGAAGGACCACCCTTTGCCTTTTGCACTATATATATGTACATCATTTTCTCTCATTCAATTCAATGCAATTTATTGCTTTAGCAATCATTTTGATCTCCTCCAATCTAGTACCCTATATAATATGTATTTTATTTTCTTCCTCTACACCAAAATG